AGGGTGAGAAAGGGCTGAAATTCTAAAAAGTAATATAGGTACAGCAGGTCGGGTGCCAGGACAAATACTCGCCACAGATCACATTCGCAAGTGGTTGCACCAAATAATGAATTAACCGAAACTCGAATTCATGGACCACTAGATAGGATCCCACTAGCTGAATGGTCTACCAGCTGCCTAGCCTTGTCACCAGCAGGTCCTCGGTTTGAATCCTGGCGATGGGCATGTACTACTAAAGAGTGGCAAACTCGGCTGGCGAAACAGCTGGCTGTCCAGTACTCTTAGATGTTTTTCCAATCGTTCTCTAAACGGTTCCACTTCATAATGAAATCCCACAAAAACCAATACTTAAATATGTTTATGCCTTCATTTTTATGATTGATTTTCGTGAGAGTAAAGAAAAAGAAAGAAAATGAACACTCTTCGAAAGTAATTGTAAGTTCATTCAACTATTTCGTTATATAAGAACAATAACAGATGACTATAGACAACACGGATAACGCTTAGTGATAATTTCATCAGCCTATAAGAGTTCATTCATTTCAACAGAAGACAGAATTTCTTTTTATAATCCAATTCAATAAAGAAATAAAACATAAATAATAATAATAAAATAAATAAATCCAACAAGTTTTAACCCGCTTTTATATTCTTCAATCTTTTCTCTAAGGTCAATGAGTCAAGTATAACAGCTGAGGATAAAAGATTATTTTAAGTATTTGCTGTTGTTTTTTCTCCCCACTGAGCCTATTTTCTGATTTCAGCGCTTTTAAGCGTTTCTCCTCTCTGTGTTCAGTCATATTTCTGTTTTTTTCAAGACAACAGACGTATACTACTTATTAACTACACTCCTACAAGTTCAATACTTGCTTGTGGGAGAAATGTTTATGTATGTATGTATGTCTGTGTATATGCGCAATAAATGACGACACATAATCTTATCATCATCTATTTGACCTTACAAATGAATAATTGAATGTATGATTCAATTATCAGATGGAAAAAAGAATAATTAGATGAAAATAAACTGCCTAAACCTCAACAATTGTGCATTCTCCAATTACGAAGATTATTATTGTTGTTGTTGTTGTTTTTAGTAGTGAATTCTGCAAAATCCGTTGTTTCATTCAACTCTATATTCCATTTGTATTTTTGAGTAATTCTCAGCTAACATTATTTGTGTGATAGAATGATTTTCAACCTAAACTGTAAAATGTGTCATTATTATGAACTAATCAATAATTGTTCTTGAAATAATAGAAAAGATTTGTAACTCAGGTAGATGATTTGCAATTAATAGTGAACTGGTTGGTTTAGTTGCGGCGCTTTCGTCCTCTTTCTGGACGACTTCTTCAGCGCAGTATTTAGGATAAAGTGAAATGATTTAAATTTCTTCATGAGTGAGTGATAGAATTGCGTCTCCCGGTAACCATCTTAACACCATTTACAAAATAAATTGTATGAACTGTAACAGACATTACATCGGCCAAAGTGGGCGTCCACTTCGAATAAGAATCCAGGAACACAAATCAGCCGTGAAAAGACATGGTATAAATTCTTTAGTATCAATGTATACAGACAATTATGGATATCAATTTGATTGGGATAATGTCAAAATCTTAGACAGAGGAAACACCAAATGTGCCAGGGAATTCCTAGAAGCCTGGTACTCAAACGAGTATGCAATTAATAAACACGTTAATATAGATGAAATAAATCAACTGATAAAAAGTAAATCAGTTGACCAGAAAGTTTAAATTCCCAATCAATAGAAAATGGTCAATGCATATGTAAAGATGGTTACTGGGAGACGCAATTCTATCACTTACTCATGAAGAAATTTAAATCATTTCACTTTATCCTAAATACTGCGCTGAAGAAGTCGTCCAGAAAGACGACTAAAGCTCCGCAACTAAACCAATCAGCTCAGAGAACACTATTAATTGCAAATAATTGTTCTTATCAGTGATGTTCCCTTGGTTTCTGAATGGAACATAAGCCTTCAACTGAGTATGTCCTCGTCTGTTCTGTTTTCTGTAGTCCTCTTCAGATGACTCTGAACTCCCCCCCTGACCAACGTCTAACTCGTTGTTTTCTGTTTGAGTTTCACATGAGCACTGGCCTAGCGTGTGATGACGTCTGACGGTCTCCTCTGCCAGTGTCCAATCCAGCTCTATTTGCTTAAGGATATTTGTTGAGTAATAGGTTCCCTGTTAGTTTTTGTTCCTAGAGTTTTCGATTGCTGATTCTTTCTACCTGGCCATTTAATCTTCAGTATTCAACTAATTTCACAGCCATGAAGGACTACCTTACCTTTCTGAATCTGGTTTAAACAACCTCATGGGGGCTGCATGTAACTGAAACGATGCTACCTAGAAAAGTGCACGAGACAACCTCATTCAAATTTACTCGATTGATGATAGTGATTGGTCTCTGATGTTGTTGTTGTTGTTGTTGTTGCTGTTATTTGGTTCTATTCATCACCCCCGTTTCCTTTATTTTCATTTGAAGTTCTATCTTCACTGTCTGCCTCTCCTGCCAACTTGTTAGTCTTCACCTGTAGATCTTAAAATCTGTGTGACATTAAACAGAAATCATCCTCGAAATCTAGATCCAAATCGGTCAAATGTATGTCCCGCGTCTAGCTCCTCACGGTCCACCACAAACAGGAAAATCATCGGTGATAATGGACGGTCTTGTCGCTTCAAAACATTACTACATGACAATACGTTTCAATCACTTGGTGACCTTGATAAATTTAGATAAATTTAAGAAAAAATTTCATTATAAAATGACGTCATCGTCTCATTTTACAGGTTCTCCTCAGCTGTAGAGACTACCTAAAATCATAATGGTTACGAAAGAATAACGTAAAATGTTTGAATGGCAGTATAGAAAACATTATGAGGTTAGCACATCTGAAATGTAAGCATCACAATTTCTAGTTTATTATTATTGTTGTATGCTTTAGTTACTAGAGAAACACAGGGCCTCAGCCGCACGTCTCCACAGCGTTCGGTTCTCTGTCAACGTTTTCACCTAGCTCCACATCTGCCAACATCCTTTCATCTCCTCTTCACATGACCTTTTCCTCCACGTCACCCTAGCGCTGACCACCAACTCGCGGCTTCCCATTCGGCTTCCACGCGAGTGATGGCTTGCTGTGTGACGTCACTTGATGATGGTTTGTTTTCTCAGAGTATGGCCAATCTACCTCGATCTCTTACCGCATATTTGTTGCACAATTCGTTCCTGGTTGGTTCACTCATTGCCAGAGATCCATGTTGCTGATCTTTTTTGGCCATCTAATCTTGAGTAGTATTGAGCAAAAACAGCTGGTAATGAAGGTCTGCAGTTTGTTTGAGGTGCTCTTCATGACGCGACGCCAAGTCTCTGATCTATAAAGAAGCACTAACTTCACATTGGAGTTGAAAATCCGGACTTTATTTTCATGTTCATGCTGAGGAGTGGTGTTGATCTCCACACAGACTTGACAGAAATGTAAGACTGCCTTGCTTTCCCAATCCTCGCTGCTTTGATATTCTCGTCAGTTCCGCAAGCCTGTAGTGGAAACGATGCGTACCAGGTAGCTAGGTAGGTGAAGGAGGTTGCTTCTTTCAGATTTCTCCCATTTATGCTGGCTGATTGTTGTCTGTTGTTGCTGTTGCTATTGTCCAGGAATCTTCATCGCCTGAAGTCCTATCTTCGATGCTCCTTCCATCGCCAACTTGTTGCCTTTCACTTGCATATCTTCCAGTTTGTGAGAACTCAGATACATATATATATATCATCGGCGGTCCATTTAATGCCTATTTCCCCACTGCCCGCTGTCTAGTTTAAGTTGCCATTAATTCATATACTTTCATAATAGGAAAGGAAGGAACATGAGAAGACAGAAAACAGAAAAATCTAATAAACAGTGTTAGGTTGTAAATTCATGTAGCAACTGAAGAAGGTTAAAGTTCATAAGATTGAAAACTTGTTCAGTGAGCTGAATCAATAATATGGATGACTAATCAACATAATCAAAATACAGTTACCAACGGGGTGTCCTCTGTAATGTTTAATTCTATGAAGGATTTGGAAATTTCGATGAAATAATTCATATTCATAAGATGTCTGGTAACTGCACTCTGTGAATATCCGCTTCCTTTCAGGTATAAGTTTCTTAGGATATACTCTAAAACCCGGAGAGAGGTACTTCTATGTGCCCTTCTAAAGTGCCTAATCCCACAAGTTCAGGCTAACTTATAAAGTCAATTGGAGTTGGCGTCAGCAGAGTGCTTATTCACTTTGAGTTGGTTTATAAAGCCTAGCTGTAGGAAGGCATTACTTTATTGCTACTTTCATCTTCAGGTCAATATTTTGTGCCACTGATTCTCCCTTGAATAAGAGACAAATTAACATTTTCTTCTTTGCGACAGTTGAGTGTTTTGCATTCTCGTCTTTTACTTTGCCATACCTTTGGATAAATCTCTTAAAAGACCAATTTTCCCCAAGGTTTTTTCCTCAAAAAAGCCTTATTCTCCTTCCAGCTTGTTGGTCAAACATACCTTTGCGGCTCTTTCTTTCAGTGTCCTTATTTATCCACTCTTACGGTTTGTAGTATGGAAGCTGTTATAGTGAAGATATTGTCCAGTCCAGCTTTATTTCTTGTAGATGGATTTTTCGATTGTACCATCGTTTCTTCTTCTTACATTCCCAGGATTCCATAAAAGAATGCCATATGGATTGTGCGTCGGTGGCACAGTGGTTAGGACTCTCACCGACCATGCACATGGTCCGAGGTTCGATCCCCTGCCGACTCACACCTGATATCTATGGTCGGCCTGAAAAATTTGGGCTAACGATATCCATGCTGAAAATTCCATACTTGTGTCAAAAATACAGTATGGAATCAAGCTGTTATCAAAAAAATAACATATTCAAATAATTCATTCTAAGCTTTTTCTCTTTCATCTTATATAATAAAATGTCAAATTCTTTTGTTTAAATTTTAGTTAAAACAAGTTGAAGAGTACATGGCGTATAAAAAGTATCCAAGAGCACTAAGAAGACGTATTGCTGGTTATTATGAGCATCGATATAAGGGGAAAATGTTTAATGAGAAAGAAATTCTTGGCGAATTGTCAGAATGTTTACGAGAGGTAAGTGATATTTATAGTTGTGGTTAATATGGGTGCTGCTTTGTATTATTATTATTATTATTATATTATTGATTATTCTTCCCTTGGATTCCAAGTGGAATATAGGTCTTCTACAGAAATTCTCCATTTTATCCTGTTCTATGTTGTATGTTCTGTGTTGATATATCTGGACCTGATTGGTCTGTCTCACTTAGATATGTGAGCTCTTTGAATAAACACTTCGGTTATTTAAATGATTCCTAACTCGAAAATATGCCCAGTGGGTGACATATTAGCGTTCGAAGCGATGTTTGCTGCTTCTGAGTCGCTTTAGGTGAGCAGGAGAATCTGTTTGACGAGTCCCAAGTTGGACGAAATCCTCACCCTCGATAACACTGCTAAAAACCCCTAAAAAGTAACAGTAAGACTGATATTGATTTATAAATCTAGGAAGTTGATATGATGATTGATATTCTGGCGAGAAATTAGTCAATCAGAAAATGGCCCACGTAAAATACCCTTGGTAATTTTTTAAAAATCATACGTTACCACGTAAACAAATACTTACTTCCCCTCTTGTCTTTTGTCTGCCATCAAGCTGAGAGATCAGTTAGCTTTTGTGAAAGATTTTTAGGTGTAGACAAGCGATAGTCGTAATTATCGTGTTTTTCACCACAGTCCGACATCCGTCTTTCAACTCTACGTTTTGTGAAATATATAATAGAAATATGTACGATTAGTTCAGGAAAAATAGCCTTCAATTGTACTGCTTTTCTGGTATCTGTCAGTTGATTTGTTGTAAGAAATTATTCATTACTGAAAAGGGGAAATAACAAATCTCAGTGGGATACCTACTTTCTAGGAATTTAGTTAAGCCTTCTGTAGATCATAGAGGTTAAACCTTATTTTCCATCAGTCAATCAGTCTTATATTCTGGTGATAAAGAAGAAGATGGAAGCATTTCTCACACTTAAGCACTTACACATTTGCTCCTTTTACGAGTATTATAGTTATTATTATTTATTATTATTATTATTTGACACCCCCTGCTATGCCTTTAAGAATCCTCCCTTTGACTACTAAAGAGAACCATCCATTTTCAATGCATTATGCGATTTGTTCAACGTTATCTTTTCTAATTATCTTTCGGAATACATACTGTGTGTTCTGTTTCCAGACCAGTGAAATGCCTTCATTCCAATTTTTCATCATGTTTTAATGAATGGTTGTCTGAATTCCTACAAACTGGAAGATATGCAAGTGAAAAGCAACAAGCTGGCGATAGAAGAAGCATCAAAGATAGGACTTCAGGTGAACATGGAGAAAACAGAGTTGATGAAGATTCCTGGCCAACGCCAACAGCAACAACAACACCAGACAACAATCAGCCAGCATAAATGGTGGGAACGTGAAGGAAACAACCTCCTTTACCTACCCACCTACCTGGGAAGCATCGTTTCAACTACAGGCCGACGGAAATGACGAGGATATCAAAGCGAGAATCGGAAAATCAAGACAAGCTTTCATTACTCTCAAGTTTGTGTGGAGGTCAACAGCACTCAGCATGAAGAATAAGGTCCGATTTTTCAACTCCAGTGTAAAGTCAGTGCTGCTATACGGATCAGAGACCTGGTGCATCATAAAGAGCATTTCAAACAAACTTCAAAACTTCATCAACAGCTGTATTCTCTCAACACTATTCAAGATCAGATGGCCAGAAAAGATCAGCAACAGGGAGGGATCTCTGGGAGCAAACCAACCCATCAGGAACAGATTGTGCAACAAATAGGCAGGAAGATATGGAGATGGATTGACTGGCCATACTCTGAGGAAACCATCAAGTGACATCACTATACAAACCATTGCTCGAGTGGAACCCGAAAGGGAAGCGGCGAGTTGGTCGTCAGAGTGAGGGTGACTTGGAGGAGGTCATGTGAAGAGGTAGTGAAAGCCTGTGGGCAGACGTGGAGCGAGGTGAAAGCGTTTACAGAGAACTGAATGCAATGGAGACGCACGGCTGAAGCCTATGCTCCTCTAGGAATTAAAGGAAATAATAATACATTAATGTTGTTATTATTACTATTTCCTAAGGTTTTAAGTGCAATATACGGATTCGACAGCACATCTCCACTTTTCCCTGTTGTCTAAATTCCTGTATTTAGCTTACCCCACGATTGCCGATAGACTCTCATATCATCCTCACATGATACTCCCCCCCTTGTCACCAGCAAACGAACACCTCACTCGCCCTTTCATATCCAGGGTCCAGTCCATATCTATTTTCTTTTGGATATTTCTCGAGCGGTAGGTTCCTGAGTGAAAGGAAAATATGGAATCAAATAAGAGTTCCAAAGAAATACAAGAGTTATATGGAGTTAGAAAACCAGCAAACAAAAGAAAATCAAGTTGGCAGAAATGAACAATGAAGTTGTTACCATGATAGTAGAAGTGATTGTGAATAATTTTCTTTTGTATGCATACCTCTAGCTTTTCTAACTGAATGGCTAAAGTTTCAGCAATACAAAGGAGATGAAAGTGTATTGCATTTGACAGATTAGTTCTCATTTTGCAGATTACTTTGAAGGAGGTGTTTGTTGAGACAGAATAATGACCAGTGTTGACAAGGTGTTCGATTATCTTGCTTCTTATAGAGTCACTACTAACTTTTTGGAACCATTCACAACCGTGTCCTTGAAACTGGTTTACACAGGATACGTAACAAACGACAGATGTAACTAGTTCCACAGCAACAGGTGAACTGACCTACGCACATATAAGTATTCAGATAAGAAATCTTGTCCCCAAGGCCTCTTCAAACCGATGAACGACTGGAAAACACTACTCTCAGCATTTCTGTAAACAGAGTTCTTTATAAAAATGGTGAAATTCTTCTCTTGTGGATGTTGCAGGTTAAGTCTCCCTTGAAATTCAGGTTCATAGATAGTTTTTCTTTTTATGGAATAAGCATGTTTCATTCCCCTGAACTTTTTGTTTGATATTCTGGTGAATATCCATTCTAGATGGAGAGTCTTTTGATAAGATCTAGTTCTGCCTTATGGAGGGTTAGAACTAAAGATGGATCGCCTGAGTGTAGCAAGGGATTTTATGAATTTTCATTTTCATTCAACAGGCACCCTTCCGTAGAAATTCCTAAGCATCATTATGACAACTCATGACCTTTTGTTGTTACTGCCCCTTTCATGAAACAGAGATTGTATATAAGCATGAGACTGTACAGCTTGAGTGGTAAACGAATTCACCGAAGTGATATATGGATAGGACTAATTTGTTAAATGTCATTTTACACGTCTGTCTGCGCTTCTCTCACTCCTACTTATAACCTTTGGCATCCCAGTGGTTGTTCCTTGTTTTATTTCACTAATGAAGTTAGTGCTTCTCAAGGTGATTTAAACATATGTATATACGCAAGCGCTGTCAACCTTTCTTTGACTCTTGCATTCAGACAGCGAAAAGCTCTCTGAATATCGTCCATTCGTCTCTTCTATCTTTTTGAGGCCTGCGGATAGTATTGCTGTTGTTGATAACGATGTGCGATTAGGACAGATTAGTCAGAGCATCAAAGTTAGTATGTAACAACAGAAGACAAAAGCCAGGCAACAGATCGTTTATTCAGGAAATCAACAGATACTTAAAGATTTTTATGTACATTATTATTAGCGTCATTATTAGCAGAGAAACAGCGTCTTCTGATTGGTTGTTTTCTCGCTTTGTGGGCGTTTCTTTGAAGGTCAGACCACATATCTGCGAATTGTATCCGCCCACGCAAAGTCTGCTGTGATTGGTTGTTGAGTTAGTCTTTGTTCTTGTTTCTTTCCCTCATGACCAAGATTTTCGGGAGGTGAACATTGACGTAAATTGCTGCCTATTGATTTTGGCTAGCAGACAGACAGCTCACTGTTCTGGTCATAAAATGGAGTAAGAGACTCTTCTCTGAAACACATGTCTTGATTTCAAATGAAACCCACTTCCTCTAAAACTTACACACATTTTTCTTCTGTTATTTTTTTGTATTTTTCTTTCTTCACTCCAACTTTATTTAGCAAATTATCAATTATAATTGTCGTGCCTTAGTAGCATCTGTTCCAATCTTTGCTAATGCTGATCAGAATTTTGTATCTGAAGTTATTGTCAAATTGAAACAAGAAGTCTTTCAACCCGGTGATTTAATTATTAAAGAAGGAACCTATGGAACTAAAATGTATTTCATTCAAGAAGGTGTTGTGAATATTATTACAAAAGATGGTGTACTGGCTACAAGGTTATCAGATGGATGTTATTTCGGAGGTAAATTATTATGAATATTGAGATTATTACTTTCAATTTTACATTTTATTCAATATAATTATTGGAAATATTAATTTAAAGAGTTGATTTCTAAGGATGCGACTAATTCAACGTTAGATTAGTTAGAGAACTGTCGAAGGTGAACACAAAGAATAATGACAACGGAATGTGAACGCACCGATCACCTTCAGTGCATACCATTTGTTGGATGATTATAGAACCTGCAGTGTATTATACACATCAAAATGCCATTTATTCATCAGAAGAACTAACATAATAATGAGGCACACTTAGGAGAATATTCCACTCTGATATGTCTGGAAAACCTCCCGGTAGAAATGAAGAGTATCAATTATAAAGTTCCACAGGTATCAAAATGATTTCATCTATATGACCGAATAGACACTCTTCTCCCATTTTTTTAAATTTAGAATAAAAATCCGGGTAATAATTATGATAAAACATCATAACCCCACAGTGGTATCAACCCCATTGTCCAAACAGTACATAAAAACGAGGTAAGAATGAAATTTGTGCATTGATTCGTGCACATTGTCGTTTATTTTGGCGCTGTAATAACGGCAGGTTCTGTGATTCAACGAATAGTGTGCATCCAAAGTCACTGGTGTGTTCCCACTTCATGAATGTGTCATTAACTACGAAGTACTAAACAGTTGTTTCATCCTAGTCCAGCACTCATCAACAGTAGATATTGATCATTCTGCTGAGAGATTGAATTCATCACCTACACTGAAAGAGGCAGTAATGCTCCCATTCAACCATCGAATGAATTCTAATTTTTACCAGTTCGTGAGATACATATATTTTTTTTCATTATAGCTTGATTCCACACCGTATTTTTGGTACAAGTATAGAATTTTCAGCATGGAATATCAGTAGCCCAAATTTTGCAGGCCGACCATAGATATCAGGTGTGCATCGGCAGGGGATTGAACACGGGACCATGTTCGTGGTCGGCAAGATTCCTAACCACTGTGCCACCGACGCCTCACCACTAGTGAGCAATGGTGACGGGTATATTTCCTCAAACAATACATGGTGGACCCTACCAATCGCTCAACTTCTCATTCGAATTCTATGAAACCCATCCCACAGTAAGTGACCGATGTACATAGGATTCATTTTTCGAGTGAATATGAAATGGAGAATTTGAAACAGGGAAGACAGATCTATTGCATACTCCTGAGTTGTCAATGCCTGTCTAACTGACGTTAATTCTCGAAAGAATCAATCTTGTTTAAGCCAAAATATTGGAAAACAATCAAGCAAAAGAAACCAAATAAGATCTATAACCATTGACCACGCTTCAGTTCCGTAGGTTGCTGCATTGCTTTCATAAGAATGATTTGCTTAATTCCAAAATAGTACACTCATAATACAGTTTGAAATTATCAGCATTTTTTGCACTGTTGCACCTAATTCACTCAACAGCAATAACAATATGAGAAAAAGATTACAAGGTTTAGATAACAAAAATTGATAATAGCAGCCCTGTGGCATTAGTAGTGACAATATAGTCAAACATGTACAATAAGTGTAATGATAATAATAATATCTACGATTTTTTGAACATGTACCGAAAAGCTTACGTCTAAAGGGAACAAATGCTTTAAACAGTGCCATCACTAGGCATCTTCTCGACACGGGTCATGAGGTGGACGTCGAAAAGTCGTTCAAAATTATCAATAAGCAAAATAGCTCAATTCTCCTTAAATTTGCTGAAGCCATTTCCATCAAGCGCATGAAACCTGATTTATGCGTTCAGAAAGAAGCGGTTATCAGCCTTTCTTTGCCCTGGTAACTGGATAATTTCACCTCTCTTTCCTCCGAATGTGAAATGCTAAAAGTTTCCATTGTGTTTGATTATTATTGTTCGGAATAGTGGTTAATATTGCATATTTATATATGTGTATATGTTTAGTGTATGCGCATATTGATCGATTGATTTTTGTTTAAACTTAACTCTGTGCAAGTATGTTAAAATTGTTGTTGTAGATATATTTAATAATGTCTTTGCCATGTAAGCAGCTGACGAGAAGGCAACGAAATAAAAGATGGTACCATTTTATTCTGCTAAAACTGTAGTTCTTGCTTTGTTCAAATTCATTAAGGGGAATAAATGTATGAAATAATAATGTCAGTGACTAAAATAATATGACAATTGAAACTGTGTCAGTATAAATTACAAATTGGAGAAGGTAAAAGGGTAGTTGATTTCGTCAACTACATCATAAGGTGTAAGCTTCAGGCCTAATACTGTCTCTCTCTGACATAGAATGTGTGGGTTAAATATGGTATCACTGAGTTTTTCTATCGGGTGTCAAAAAAGGTCAAAAGAAAAAAGAAAAGTAATGGTGAAACTAATAATGATGACGTAAATAAGAGAGAATATAAGTCGTCCACTGTTATATCATATAAAAAGGGGACATCCCAAACCCTCTCTAGGTAGGATTCTTAATAAAGCTGGAATTAGGGTGGCATTCAAACCTACTAACTCACTCAGAGACCCGATGGACTCAGTCAAAAAAGAATAATATAATTTATAAAATATCTTGAAGTGACTGTGAGGGAGGTTAACTACATAGGTAAAACTACTCGATCAGGAGTAGTGAGATTATCAGAACATAAGAATTTAGCTTAGGTTAGAATGATTGATCCCTTGAAGATAAGTAATTTAGAAAAAAGCTCAGCACTGCAATGCACTGCATGCATTAACACACAACCACACAAAAGGGTGGGAGAGGGGTTAAATTTCTAAAAAGTAATACAGATAGGTGGGAAGGGAGAGAGAGATTACTGATTCCTGGTTCATTCAGTCTTCACCCATCACATGGAACAGAAATGACTCAACACAAATACCAGAAATGTGGAAGATATCATTACCACCAGCCAAATCAGAGGAGGATAATAAATATTGTTAAAATGTACTCAATTCACATCATAACAATCTAACAGGTTACTTATTATGACTATAAAAACACTTGTCTTATTTCCCATCTGATTGTATTTGATTGTTAATACTAATATTATTTCCTAATGTACATTATCCTATACTGATTTGTATTCAAATGTCTTTACGAGTTGATCATGGATTGATATCAATTCAAGAACCATTGAAAACCAGCACTGGAGTACTGGACAGCTGCTGTTTCATCCTAGTTTTTGGGAATCGTCGGCAATACGCACCCACTGCCAAGGTTCGAACCCAGGACCTTCCGGTTACAAGGCAAGCTCGTATACCATTCAGCCACTGGGACCCAATTCAATGGCTAACCCATGAATTCTTACTTCTACCAGTTCTTGAGCCATTGAATTGGGTCCCAGTGGCTGAATGGTATACGAGCTTGCCTTGTAACCGGAAGGTCTTGGGTTCGAACCTTGGCAGTGGGTGCGTACTGCCGACGATTCCCAAAAACTAGGATGAAACAGCAGCTGTCCAGTACTCCAGTGCTGGTTTTCAATGGTTCTCGAACTGATATCAATCCATGATCAACCCGTAAAAACATAACTAACCCTTACAAAACCAAACTATAGAAAATTCAAATGTCTAATCAATTTCACTCATGAATATAAATGAAGTAAAAATTTATCTGAGCAGTGGTTTGATATGATTATGAGCAATAATTAGTCATCAGTTAATATTACTGTATAACACTACACTGTGTGTGATTTATCAAAATAAAATCTTATCTATAATGGAGTTATACTCTACCACAGTGCCCAAGTTTTATACTTATGCTAATAACTTCTCCTGCTACCTGATGAGATGCAAAGGGAGACTTTTGAATAGATAGTGAGGCGTTGAGAATCAGACAATATGGATTTAAAGCATTTCTCACATGAGTTCAAGTGTCTATCGACTACAATAGGGACGCGCTGACTTAGTGACATACTACCTGCCCTACTGACAAACTTTGATACCCTTCTTAGTATGATATATACCTTTATGAGGAGCCCACAAAGGACTAAACGGGGTAGGCAGTAAAGAACAATACGTAAGATAGAAGAATTAAAAAATTGTAAAAGTTGAGACTGAATGATTTCTAATTGCCTTAACTTCTCAATGTAATTGGTCAAACGAAACATTTTTTCTCAGAAATCTCCAAGACATGGGGTGATGAAGAAATAGCAAAGGAAGGTAGTATTCTGAGGTTATTTAATGCTTGACGAAGTTTCTGTTTCAGTGCCCTCAATGCTACAAGCATCTTATGAACAAACACGTTCGCGGAAATCATGCTTGAATGAGAAGCTATCTGTCTGGCAAGTGAGGGAATTTAAGGCAAGACCATTTATCTTAGACCACTAGCCTATGTCTGACGAGATGCTATTCAGTTAGTTTGGAACAGCCAGATCACGATGTAAGTGATAAACAGGCAGTCAGGTCACCGGTGTGCCAAGAAAGGTATTTCTCAAAGGCTGTAGAGCATCGCCGACAGCTGCTTTCGTTAGCTCCATGCTGAAGATCAGACGGCCAGCCAGAAAGAATTAGTAAAACGAAACCAATCAAGAACCTATTGCTCAACAAATATGCTGGAAGAAAATGCAGATGGATTGAACCCACACTGAGTAGACCATTGAGGGCTAGGCTTTCAAGTAGAAAGTAAATGGAAAATGTCAAGTTGAGTGTCCGGAAGTGACACACAAGAGACTATATTTGGTACAAAATGGCAGTAATGTCGAAGCCTGTTGAAAGGATTTCAGGAAACAGACTGAAAATGAGAATGTCCCGTTAAAGCCCTATGTCCCACTTGGGAACCAGTCTGTCTGGATTCAACATAGAACTTCGCACCGAAGTGCACCAGTTCGAGTTGCCACGTTCCAATTGGCACACAAGGTAGACAAGAAGATGAGTGAAGAGAATCAATAGAGTTTGACAAATATAAGAGTGAAACAGAATGGGTAATTGTAGAAAGGAATATGAAAGATTACAGAGACTGAATACATCTGCGCTGGCCATTGACAACGATTTTGAGCCATGTCACCTATTGTCTCCAGCCATTGATTCCTAGAGTCCCGAGGGCCCCAACCCGGGAGTCTGCATCTCCCTACCTGACTCAGTTTAACTGTCAAGGATTTCATGGATTGATGAGGCCATGTTTTTGTTTGGCCACCACTTACTCTTTTCCAACCTGCACCTATATCAGCTAGTAACGCCCGTCGGGGGAGGCTGATATTTCATCACCAATCAGTCCGTTGGTGCTGGCTGATACAACTTCCCAAATAGGTGAAGTGGTCAACATGTTCTATCACTTCACTCCCTATCACTAAGCTAGGAGTTAACGTAGTCCAGTCCTGTGGCAGCATCTTACATTTTGTAGGGGCGAATCGCATGCCAAACATACGAAGATTGCTTCTCAAGGTGTTCAGAAGACTCTGCTTTATTTTGTCAGCATCCTCCCCTAACAGCACTATGTCATCTGCATATTCTAAGTCCATAAGACTATTCCCTGGTAACAAGTCGATTCCTAAGTCATTACGTTCAGTTAAGGATACTTCCATCAGCATATCTATGATGAAGTTAAACAGAAATGGGGAAAGTGGACATCCCTGTCGGACACCACTGGTTGTTACCAATTCAGATGACAATTCCCCATAAGCCTATACACGGCTTCGTGGGTTTGACTAGAGTGCCTTGATTAGTGCAATGTACTTTCTTGGCATTCCCTTCACAGTCAGACATTGCCATAGTGCCTTTCGATCCACGGAGTCAAAGGCCGCCTTCAAGTCAAGAAATATGACAATTGTTGGACGCCGAAAAGTGTGTCTATGTTCTAGAATCTGTCGAAGAGTGAAGATATGATCTATGCACCCTCTACCTGGTCTAAAGCCTGCTTGATTTTCCCTCGTTTGATCCTCCCGAGTTCTGCTTAGTCTATGCATGATTACTGAGCCTAGGATTTTAGAGACTATGTTCGTTAGGCTGATCCCTCTATGATTATCACACGAGGACTTGTTTCCCCTCTTGAATATCGGTATAATAAGTGACTTACCCTCAGTCTGATGGCACTATCTCTGATTCCCAGATTTTGCCTAGTACCTCAGTTAATCTACAAACTAGTATGTCACCCCCATATTTAAACACCTCCGGGCCCAGTAGACTAATACTAGCAATAATAATACGGAGTTTCGGAGTTAAAACTGAACAAGGTAAGCCATCTACCTAATTAAACACAATAATAACAAAAACACCAAAAACTAGCCACCTAAGTTACAAATCCTACACATTATTCCATTGAATATTATCGTATTCCTTCCTTATCCATTTTAGAAATATGCTTACTAACCAATGCACGACGTGTAGCAAGTGTTGAGGCGGAAACCTATTGTACCCTCTATTCACTGGATCAAAAACACTTCTACGATGTACTGGAGAATTATCCAGAAATGAGAGTAACGCTAGAAAAGGTTGCCACTGAACGCTTACAATCACTTGGTCGGCGAACATCAATTCTACAGTCAACAAATAATGTAAATGAACAGTCGGATTATGCGCTGAAAATTGCTGATGAGGTAATCACCATTGTGTCTACTTATAGGGTGGCGTTATGCTCAATTTTATTCTATTTCATACTAGGGTTGTATGAATAATTATGTCTTATTTCTCAATTTGTACTAGTGTGGGATTCGAACCTCAGACCTATACTACGATATATTAGGAGGTTTAGATATTATGGAGAAGATTTCTAGCTCAGGTGGATGATTTTGATGTGTTTGTGAAGCTTTCATTGCCCCTTAATGGGCAACATCTTCAGCACATACTTCAATTCGATGGGGTGAGCTTTCAGATTTCTCCACGAGTTTATTAGTCACCTCTCCTGGTGACGACCTTGAACGTGTTTTGTTTTCGTGTAGTTCACATTCTCTAGGCTGCTTGTATCGGTGTTGATTGTTTCCTTGACCTGAAGTTTGAACCAAGTCAAGAAAACAATCAGTTCCAATATAAGACGCCTAGAGAGTGTAAGAACACACGAAAACAACCAATCACTTTCAGGGTCACCACCGGTAGAAATGACTAATAAACTCGCGGAGAAATCTGGAAGCTCACCTCACTGAATCGAATTATGTTCTGAAGTTGTTGCATAGTATGGCGAGCAATGAAAGCTTCGCACCTACAAACCATCCAGTTCAGAGAACACAACCACATCAAAATTAGGAGGTTTATTTTATCCTTTAACTCCAAAATACTTTTTTTTCAATACTCGACAAGAGAACAGTTGGTTAGCCGATATAAAAGAACACTTTGACTCTTCAAAATATGAAATATATTTCGGCACTCATACGTCTTACCAGTGATCCATGCTTTACTACTTAGACATAGTCCAACAACAACTGAACATAATTCAACGAAGTGTCAAATTTTCTGGACGTCATTACCTTCAACTTAAACAATCGGCCAACAATACAAAGGTCAGCTACTTATCTCCAGTTCTAACGGTATTTATGCCAGTAAACTGCAATTTTTGTAATGAACATCAGGAATTACCTCTATTTCAAGTTTCACCAGTGATTAATATCGGTTAGAAAGCTGGTGGCAGAGCAGTTGTTTCGACCTTGTTTGCGATTCTTCATTAATATGCACCCACAGAGGTTCGAACCCAAGACCTTCCGGTTACATGTCAAGCTCGTAGAACATTTAGCCACTGGGACCCGATACAGTAGCCTATGATCTGATGCCTACTAGTGACTGGCCATAGGATAAAGTTGTCTGGAGTCAGTTCTATTGAGAGATTGTGACCTCGGATCAATTCCTTAACGTATCTAGGAAGCATTGTCTCAACCACAGGCAGTTAGGAAATCTTCAAGACTAACTGTTAAGGAAAAAAATTTTGAATTTCAACACCAATGTTAAGTCAGTCACTGTTTCTATATAGGTCAGTAACCTGGTGCGTCGTCGAACAGTCTACTGAAGACATTATCAACACCTTCATTCGCTGGCTCCATATTGGAGATCAGATAGCCAGAAGGTATTAGGAACCAGAAACTCTTGGGAGGAACCAATCAAGAACCTGTTCCTGAATAAATGCAGATGAACTGAACACACTCTGGGCAGATCACCTAACGCCAAGCCAGTGGTTGGGTGGAACATGAATAGGAAACGGCGAGAAGGGTGTTAGTGTGAGTGATACATGTAGGAGATCATGTGAGGATTATTTACGAGTCTATGGGCATTCGTAGGGGCAGCTGAAGAGGACTCCAGAGAACAGGGTACAGTGGCGATGTGCTGTTGAAGCCGTATGTTGCACTTGAAACCCAAAGCAATAATTATGAAATAATAATCAACTACTCAGTACTTGTAATGCTCCACAGATTCTTTAACTGATATTGTGTCTTGCCTAGAACTACTCTGAAGGAAATTGGATGCAAGCAGACCGGCCGTATTAGATTCATTTTTTAAGAACATCATTTATTGTTGTGTGCTTTTTTGTGTAAACAAAACTTACCTCAAACAATCGATTTTACCCGTTATATTTTTTAATGATATTTTACTTACAGGTTATAAAACATCAGGTAAGTTTCTAAATAATTTGTCCATCCTTTTGTTTCTGTTTTTTTCAAATATCCATGTTTTATTACAACAATAATTATAAACATGACTAATTATTGTTACCAGAAAACTGCCTTGTTGACTTAGAATATGCAGATGATACATTCCTCCTAGGTGGAGACGCGGAAAAAAATGCGGAGTCTTCTAAACACCTTGAGCAGCAATCTTATAATCTTTCGCATTTGATTCGCTCCTGCCGAATGTAAGATGATGTCACAGCACTGGACTACATCAAGTCCTAGCTTACATGTATGGAATGAATTGGTAGAGATTGTTGACCCCCAACGGACAGGTTGCAGTTAATGAAATCTCACCATGGATACAAAAGTCTGGTATGGGATTTGGCAACTTACGCCATTTCTAGTGTAGACGTGATATCCGGCTGTCGATTAAATGGATGTGTGTACTCCACACCAGTTCGTTCCATCTCCTTTTATGGCTGTGAGATATGGTGGCCATTGAAAGTGAATGACATGAAAAAGCTATCTAGTTGTCTTTGGTGTCTGAGCTCTGTCTAGCCTGTTAGGTAGTATAATAGGGTGAGTAATATTGGATGGAGGATTTCATTATGAGTTGACATAAGTTAGAGAACCACTGGAGAACCTGGGAGTACTGGACAGCTGTTTCGTCCCAGTTTAGGACTTTTCACAGTACTCACCCACCACCTACAGGGTTCGAGCCCAGGACCTTCTGGTTACAAGTTAAGTATCTGCGCCAGCCACTGAGACCGATTTTGATCCAGCCATATCACCGATTGTCTCCAGCCATTGGTTTTTATTGTCCCGAGGACCCCAACCAGTCAAGTAGTCTACACCTTCCTACGTGGCTGGCTGGCTTAAACTAACTGTTGTGGATTTCATTGATTGATGAAGCGATATTGGCTCTTTTCCAACCTGACCCATAGTCAGCTAACATAACCCGTCGAGGAAGTCGTTATTCCAGCCCCAGTATGAACGCCTATGTGCACAATCTCATCTACACATTTCATCTTAATCTCGTCTTTATGTTCTCCTTGTTCATCTGGATGAAACCATTTTGATAGCTGTGGAACTTGAGAACTGGTATCCTTCATTGTAATCAGGAGGTATTTTTCAGATACATCAGGGTGAAATATCCCCTTCAATGTGTCCCATTATTACAAGTATTATTGTGTCAATTCTTCTAGTGAGCAAACGGCTTTTTGATGTGTATAATACACGGAAGGTTCTGTAGTTATCCAGCGAATGGTACGTGTTGAATTTAATTTGTGCGGTCGCAATCTGTGGTTGCCACTTTTAATATTTGCTGTATACAGAATTCAACATTGGATCCCTCTATTATTACTGAATAAAGAACTATCTGTCTCAAGGCGTTTGAAATGACGTCTTATTTTCTGATTCGCATTTTTTTATTTAAGTGATAGCTATTGGTACTCACAGGGTTCATCGTATGTATGTAACGGGAGCAAATAAGAGACTCGGTAACGAACCCTCATTCAGGAAAAAAACATCATGTTTAATATATTCCTAGCCACATTAAAATTCGACTAGGTCAGAAGAGAATCAACCATTCTGATTGGTTGGCAGTCGGTCCAAAGTGTTAAACGAGGTGTCCAATGAGGTTCTTCCATGTCTACAATGCAAAAGTAAATTCAGATTTGAGGAATAAACACACCTCTACCTCTTCTTTAGCCAGCCATTGACTTTAATTGTTAATTTCAGTCTTGGCTGCCTACTATCAATCTACATCACGCCGTATGTATACAGGAGACGAGTATATGGAATTTCTGTATATGATCCCGCTATTATTGCTGAATAATAAAGCATAAAAGAGTTCCCATTGTCAAATGTCTTAAGTCATTGAAATTTGAGTTTTATCTAGTTGAAGTGACGGTAACCATTTATGCAATAGGTCAGTTAGTGAGGAAGAGGGGGGTCACATGACCCAAGATAATCGAAACCTTTGACTCCATAAACTTATATACTACTCATGTCGAAGTAGAAACGTAGTTAATTGACTTATGACTTTTATTCAGTAGCTTCATAGTTCGAATACCATGCCATCTCTTTCAGGCGTCTTACAATAATTATGAAAGACTGACGTCAGCTAACGGAGTTCAAATATCAGAAGATATCTGTTACACCTGAATTTAGGAGGAACACTGATGTGTTCTAAGCCACGACTGATTGTATCAATTATTCAACGGTTGAACACCTACCAGTCACACACCTGGTGCCAACGCGATTTAAGATTGACGCGCTGCTAAACTTCATTTATCAGTTGATAAGCTTGGAGTAGAAGAGGAAGAATAAGAAAGAATGGGAACAATGCCAGTGTAATGACAGAAGACAAGGGTTAGGCAACATATTGTTTATTGAGGAAATCAACAGATATTTATAGATTTTTATGTACATTATTATTAGTGTCATTATTAGCAGAGAAACAGCGTCTTCTGATTGGTTGCTTTCTCGTTGAAAGTTATTCTGTCATCTCATTGGTGGCCGTTTCTTTGAAGGTCAGACCACATATCTGCAAATCGTATCCGCTGACGCAAAGTCTGCTGTGATTGGTTGTTGAGTTATTCTTTGTTCTTGTTTTTCTTCCTCATGACCAAGATTTTCGGGAAGTTAACATTGACGTAAATTGCTGTCTACCAACTGTGGCTAGCAGACAGCTCTCACCACACTAGTTACCCCCACCCCGTAAACAAACAAGCCCTTTGTTTTACTTAGAACACTAAGGAATATAAAAACTAATAATAATAATATTCATGCTTTCTTTGCCTCAACCATTTTCCATTTATTCCTTAAAATTTTTCCTCAAATTTCCATCTATTTTAGCGTCATGCAAAGTATTCAACGAATAATCTTTGTTCCAAAGACAATAAAGAACAAAATGCCAGCAGTAAAATAGACAGTCAAGCGTTGAAATCGAATTCCTGTATTCACAAGACCAATCCTTCATTGTCCACACATAATCCCAAAAAAGAAGATGGAAGTGGTGATGACAATGTTGATGATGATCCCTTACACAGGATTAAGGTGCCTAATTCTTCAACTCAACATCAGCATCAACCTTCTTCTACTCATATTCATCCTTCTTTTGCCTGTTCTTCTTCAACCGCTTCGTCTTCTTGTATTCCCACTTCGACAACTGATCATCAAGCAAATCATCTTCAGGATGGAAAAGGTGGGAAATTTAAACAAGCTCAACCCAGTATCATTACACCACGTGTACATTCCTCAAATAATGAATAATTTGAAGGCCTCAACACTTCTATCCACATTTAAAAATATATATTAATACGTAATTCTATATATATATAAAACAAATTGATTTCACATCTCTTTTGTGATTGGACAAAAAACAGATCCCTATAGCCTCCTGTTCACTGCACACACACACATACACAAACACAAATTGCTCCTCAGTAAATTTGCACAGTTTTCATTGATTATTTTTTCCCTATACATGCATACATGCATCTATCTATATACACGCATAAATATTTTACATATATATATAGGACTACTTTAGAGTGTATATCAGTAGTATCAGAAGTTATTCAAAAAAACATGAACTTAGCTCATTTATTTCACGAGATTAGTCAATCAGGTTTTATGCCGCCTTAATAAACAAACTTGTCTTCTCTTACTCCTGCTCTCTGCCTCCGTGTTTTTGAAGGGATCAGTGTTTCTTTTTTAAGAAAATCAAATAAAGCCGAGCAGAGAGACAGGAAGAGAGATTATGATTGATCCGTTTCATTTAATGATTCATTTATTATTATGATGATGATTATTTTCATTCTGTATAAAACTGAGAATTTTATCTACAATCACTCCGTCTATCTAACTACCTATCTATCAATAATATTGTATAGTTCAAAGTAAAGAGATAAGGAACCCACTGACTTATTTTCATTTCTCCGGGTTTTGAGTGGGACGAGGGACTTCAATATCGCAAACACCAGTATTAATATTTGTGTCAAATTAGCCAAGTATAAAAAACCTAACAGCAAAATCTGGATTAGTTGACCCAAATAAGATGAGAAATCTAGAGAGTAGTTCAGCTATACCACTCACTACATGCAATTACACACAACCACCGAATATAGGATGGGATAAGATGACAGTTTTAAAATCTAATTTTTTTTATTACAGCTTGATTCCGACACTGTATTTTTGGTACAAGTATGGAATTTTCAGCATGGATATCGGTAGCCCAAATTTTGCAGGTCAACCATAGATATCAGGTGTGTTTCGGCAGAGGATCGGACCTCGAATAATGTGCATGGTCGGCGGGAGTCCTAACCACTGTGCCACCGACGCACAAGGTGTCACAAGGTGGAGGGAGAGATTGATAACAGAAGCTTTCAATATAGAAAAAAAATCCCCATTTAGACATTTAGAAAACAGAAAGATTGAGCAGCGAAGAAATATTTACTTTTTAATTAGATCCTCACCTCACTATGGCTCTACTCTAATATACACGTATAGCATTTTAATTACAATACACAACAGTTTGCCAATCAAGTGGCCCGGATATGTTTGTTAACAATAATTAAACGGTATCAAAATGTCAATGGGTTAATAATTAACGAAGAAAATTAATACACATTTAAAAGGTAGAAATGGTTAGAATGAATTAATTTTAGGAGGATAACACGTAAATTAAAGATGAAAGGGTCAAAATAAATAATAAATAAAATCATTTGACAATTATAATTTTTATAATTTTAAAGGCTTAGGGGGAGGGAGGTGAAGTAGTCTTGTTTATGCACTCTTGTGACGATTGCCACGGTAAGGAAAGTAGCTGTACAAATTTCTTCTGAACACACAGGTGTGGCTTCTTCAAGTGCATTCCTATTGCTTCAGCTGTCTGTAGAAGACGAACTCGTAGAGCAAAATTAAGATTAGTAGGAATGCGATAGATAATTTTAAATGCTGTATTAACATCAACCTTATGCTTACTATCTACAAGGTGT